ACAAAAAGAGTTGTGCATACTGTAATATTTACTCAGAACATGTTAGTCTACAGGACCTTAGTTTAAAATGTGCTTTAAAAATACTTCATTAATGTGTTGCTGAAGATTATAAAATCACATCTCAAAAATCCTTACTCAGATTGTGCATCTAAAAATCTATGCATTCATCTTTAGCCTTAAATGCTTGGATCTTCAGACATCTAGTTGTGGCTGTTTGTTTTGTTTGTTTTTAAACAAATCCTTCAAAAGACCACCCTTAACTAAAATGCCCATTTTGATTTTAATTACTATAGTACAAAAAACTTGCTTCCAAAGTCTTCCTGTCCATCCCTTTCTCCCTTCACCTGCCTGTTGAAGAGAGCCCTTTAAAGGGACAACACTCCTTTCTTTCCAGATAGAGAAACTCATTTGTCCAGCTTTCTTTACTTCTATTTGATTAACTCGTTTTAAGAGAACCCTCCAGCAAAATCAGTACCTTAGTAAGATATAAAATCCTTTGTTATGCCTAAAAATATTTGGAAACATTCTTTAAAGTTGGTGAAATTTCATAAACATATATATTGTTATGGAGATCACACAAAGTAAATTGGTGTTCCCTTTTTCTAAAAGCAATGAACGTTGTTATGAACACACTAAACCTCTGAGACTGATTTAATTTAAAATGTCTTTGTTTCAGTGAGTTAAATATGTAGTAATCTGGAATGATTACTTTATGAAGGCTAAAGAGTACATTTAAAATATAAAATCAGCTTAGAAATAAATACTGATTAAGAAAATGTAAAACCGAGAAGAGCTGCATCATGTATTCCATATTGAATGTTGTATTCAGCAGGACAGGTGACTTGCCCTTACTACGGTTTTTGCAAATAAAATCTGACAAACTTCAGGGTATATTTAAAAAAAAAAGTCAGTTTTTTTTTATTCCCAAGTTTAGTGCTTTTAATTAGGTACCTTCTGCATGTCCAGTCTTTACCATCTGGCATGCAGTGGAAAACCATGCTCCATATTCTTTAGAAAGAAACTGCAGAAGAGTGTTTGTTTTGTCTTTTGTTTTTCTTCTTTTTCCCCTATTTCCCCCCCCCTTCCCCCGCAATGTCATTTGCTCCATTTGGGTTCAGGGATTTGGCTGGAAGGGGGTGAGCAGGGAGGGGGAGGGAAGAGAGGAG